CTAAATTATAAAACAATTTCAGAAAGCAGATTTAACAGCTCCTGCCACACCGTGGTTCCTCTTCTGAAGAAGGTTACCAGGCAAGAGCACAGAGAAGGAATCCAGGGAATCTGGAGGACAACTGAAGGATCGGGCAGGTTCCCAAGGAGCCAAACAACAGCATCTAATTAGCACAAAGAATGGAGCATTTATGTTCACCTGGAGCGAGGTCTCCAGTGGTCACTGCAGACAAGGTTATCCAGATTTGCAGCTGACCAAATACTGGAAAGAATAACTAATAACCCAAAGGCTAGGAATCCATCTAGAACGAGCAAGGTCTCTGCAAAATCAAAATGAGTTTGAAGAAATGTGGTTGTTCTATCCGCCCCCATTTAACTCATCCACCTTCTCACGTTCTCTGGGCTTCGATGACTTAATGTCTCTGTCGAAAGGTGGAAGGACCCTAACCTTGGCAGGGGTAAATAAAGCAGAGAAAAGAACCAAATGTATTCATACCTGAAGTGGTTACCCAGAAGGTGAGGAAGTGCTCAGGTGCTGGAGTGTTTGGAATCGTGAATGAGTCACTTAGAAACATACACTCTGGGCTTCAGATACAGCTCAGTGGCAGCCAATCATAAGGCCCTGAGTTCAAAACCCAGAATCAAAAAAATAAAAGACAGTAAACCCATTGCTGAAGTGGAGAGGTTTTGCTACCGCCTGCTCCCTGAAAACTGAGGGACTAAGACTAGTGGGGGGAACCTGGAAAAATGAATAAGCTGCTTAATTCATAAATGTCCATATGATTATACAGGATAAAGGGGATCTGGCTCGGCAGGTGTTCGTTAGGTGTTCTTAGAGGCGCATTCCCCATCCCTGCAAAAACGTACATTTCCTTTAGTAAGAATTTTAGCAAAGGGTATCCAAATCTTAAGAGAGCACTCAGAAATACTGTCTATATCTAGGAATGCTGAAAAAAAAAAAAAAAAAAAAAAAAAAAACACTGAGCTGTAGCTTAGCGGCCTTGGATTCCATCCCTAACACTGAAAAAGAAAAAAAAAAAAAAAAAAAAACCTGATTGTGTACAGCAGGTTCCACCCTAGGTACAGATCCCAGAGAGAGTAAGACAGTTCAGGATCTTTAAAAAAAAAAAATCAAAACAAACAAACATGTCTTTAGAAAAAATAATTGCAAAACAGGAAATGCTTGTCCTGGAGAACTTGACCTGGAGAACTAGTCGTCTTTTAATGTCCTTTTAGACTACCCTAAAAAGCCCTGAAATATTTTAAGAACGTCTTTGTAGTCCTAGAAATGGTTAAAAACAAAAACAAAACAAAACACCCAAAACCACAGGGTCAGATTTCATCTCAAAGTTGGGAAGGTTCCCCTCCTCGGCCCTGACTCCACCCCCTCCAAGAATAACAAATAACCATTTGAGCTCCTGCTCCAGGCAGAAGTTACTTAGTATTTTAAGAGACTGTACTTCAAGGTCCCTACATCTAGGACAAGACTTCACTGTCAGCAACTAGAGTAGGGCCCAGCAGCACTTGCCCAACCAAGGTGGAAATGAGGAGTGAAAAGACCTCTAGGATTTGGCCTAAGGGGCCCACTGGTCACTTTCATCAGCAGAACATAAAGATTAGTAGGGCCGGAAAAACACACAGCTATGTCAGTAGCTAAAGGAGGAAAGGAAATTCCAATAGATCCTTACAGAACGTTACACAGAAAACCTTGAATTTCTCTCTCTCTCTCTCTCTCTCTCTCTCTCTCTCTCTCTCTCTCTCTCTCTCTCTCTCTGTGTGTGTGTGTGTGTGTGCGCGCGCGAGTGTGTGTGTGTGTGTGCGCGCGCGCGTGTGTGTGTGTGTGTGTGTGTGTGTGTTTAAAGCTAAGTATAGTTGCATACACCTTTAAACCTTTAATCCCAGCACTTGAGAGCCAGAGGCAGGTGGATCTCTCTGCAAGTTAGAGACCAGCCCGGTCTTCATAACAAGTTCCAGGACTACTGGCGCTACATAAACAGAGAGATCTTGTCTCAAAAACAGACAATGACAACAAAATCTAACATACATTAAGAATATCTCTCTAGGGACTGGAGAGATGGCTCCGAGGTTAAAATCACTTGATGCTCTTGCAGAAGATCAGGGTTCAATTCCCAGCACCCACATAGTGGCTCACAACCATCAGTAACCCTGGTTTCAGTGATCCGATAATGGGCATAGATGTGCATGCACATATACGCACGTAGGCAAAACATTCAGACACATAAAATAAAATAAACAGTCTCTTAAAAAAAAATCTCTCTCTAGAATGAAGAAACCCAGCTAGGATGGCCCCTCCCCCCCCACACCCACCAAGATTGAACCTAGGACATTGTGTATGCTAATCAAGCACTCTGCCACTAAGCTACATCCCAGCTTCCAAAGAGGACATTTTTATTTGTGTTAATTGATTTACACTCATGTCTCATGGTGTGTGAGGAAGAGGACAACCCTTGGTTTTGTTTTTTTCTCTCCGTGGCTCATCAAGTCATCAGGCCAGCTAGTGAGTGCTTTACCCACTAAGCTATCTTCCAGTTACAGGCAGTTGTGAGTTGCCGGACACAGTTGCTGGGAAGTGAACCCAGGTCCTCTAGAACCACTGAGCCATCTCTCCAAATTCCAAAATTTAGCTTTTCTTTTTGAGACAAGATCTCATTCTTTAGCTCTAGCTGTTCTGGAACTCACTTGGTAGACCAAGCTGACCTTGAACTCACAGAGATCCGTCTGTGAGACCCTCTGTCTCCCAAGTTCTGAAACACTATGCTCTGCCCTCAAAGAGGATCCAGATGTTGCCAATCACATCCGCACGTTCAGTTCACAGTTCAAATCTCAGGGATGCTCTCCAGACTGTTCAGTAATTTTCTTTCACACCTGACCTCACGCTTCACCACCTCCACCCCAGGGGGAACACGAGAGCTCCACAAACACCATCACCTTCCCTGGTCACTCTGCTGGTCCTTAGCATCATGTACCCGGTTAATAAGGCAGATGTCCCGTGATGCTAATGAGCTGGGATTTTAGTCCGGCAGTGAAGATCTTAAACTACACAAATTAACAGTAAATGTATCAAACTGAGGTCAGCCAAAGTCTGTGCTTCCTACATTCTGAGATAGAAGGAGGAAAGTCAACAACAGAGGCTTCTAGCTCCTTAGAAAAGCGGAATAAAAGACCCCGCCCCAAACTACAAGAAACAAGTACCTCAGGAAAAACAAAAGAAAACAGATGAACAAAAAAGCCCAGCTGCTCCAAACATAGCCAAGAAAGACTAAAAACTAAAATACAAGTTTGCTTGGGGGCTGGGACTACATAGTTCAGTTGTAATGTACTTAGAGCAGAGCCCTAAATTGTATTCCTCAAAGTGCGTAAATTACTCAATGTGCAAATGATACACAGTAATCTCCATTTTAAAGGTGGAAATGGTACAAATGGACTGGTTTGGTCATTGCCTCGGCTCACTATAGTAGGTATTTTCTCTGAAATTCTCTACAGTTAACCACTCCTTACGGGTTGGCTTAAGTTTTCTGTATCCTGCCTACTGTAGATTTTTGAAGCTTTGCTGAGATTCCAACCTTAGGCTGCTACCCCTCCACCCCCTCGCCTCAACCTTTAAAATAGAGTGCTGGTAGGGTTTACCTTTAACAAAAACCCTCATACTTACTTCCTAAGTTGCCTGGAAACTGCTGGAATGTGGAGAGTGCTCCCTACCCACTTAAATCTAACTGGCTAACCCCACCATCCCATTGCCTAAAAAAGAAGGACTAACAACTAGACAAATCCAAAGGGAAAAAAGAAAAGAAAACCACCAACGGTGGAAATTTAAGATTTATACATACAGAAAGTAGTGCAGTTCCTTCGCACTACTCTTCTACTCAGGGATATGTAGTTGAACAACAGCACGAACCACAGAAAGCATCACCAGAAAGCGCCTTACTGAGAAGCATAACTCTTTTCCGGCGATCCCAATAACACACCTGTTGTATGCGAGCGCCGAGCGCCACACACTGCCAACCTGCCTGGAAAGCTGCCTCCTCCCCGCCCCAGGTAATTCCCCTAGTGGCAGTCTGCCCGGTGAGCCCCAGGCAGGCCCGAGGATACCTCCGCTCCCGCTGGGGTTCAGTCACTCCACCTGGGACTTTCGAAAGGGGCTCAAAGTTGTTCCAGCGACAAGATGCAGAGGCCATTTTGGTCCCCACCCACTTGTCCCAGCATACTACCTCCGATGCAGGCCACTCGCAGCTAGACTCGCGGGGCCGACTTGGCCCGGGAGGTCTGCAAAGCGGACCTATGGAGGCTGCGGGTCCCCGAGACCGTGCGCCCCACGGCCGCTCCGCGCTCGGGAGCAACCGGGCCAGAGCAGGGCAGCAGAGCAGGCCCTGCCCTGGGGCAGGTCCCCCGCCCGCGGTCACGGATGAGAATTCACCGCGTGAGCAGCTTCCCTAGAAATCCAGCCTCACTCGAAAAGAACACCGAGAGCTGAAATCAACAAGGGCGCACGCACCGACCCCTGTTCCAAATAGCCAGGGTAATACACGCCAAGACTTTGGGGACACTGTAGGGGACCCCCGGCCTCCTCCTCTCCTGGGATGAATTACCCAAAGGGGCGGAAACCATGAGGGCCATAGGGATCTAGGCTGTCCTGCGTCGCCCAGCTCCAGCCCTAACTGGAGACCCGGAGTAGCCCACAGATCTCCAGCGCCCCAGCTGAGCGCGGGATCCGCCCCCGAGACTCCCGCCTCGGTAAAAGTAGAAAGTTGTTCAGGCATTTCTGGTGGAGAAGGTTTCACCTGCGGCTCCGAGAGAGAGAGAGAGCCCCCCAAATCCTCCCGCGCTGCGCTCAGGCACACGCGCTTCTCCGGTTTCCGTGAGAGCCGAGTCCAGGGCGAAACTGCCACCGAAACTCGCTCCGCGCGCCCTCCCCGCGCCTCGCCTCCCAGCCCCGGCGCGTCGCCCTGGGGAACCCCAGCGAGGTACCTGCCTCGTACCCACCTGGGCGGCCGGAACCCCGGGGTGCTCGCCTGGCCGGTGCACCTGCTGCCGCCCGCGATGCCAGCCGACAGCTCGACTGAGCCGGGAGGACCGTCCTCCGCCTCCCCCACCCCCTGCCCCCGGGCATGCGCACCAATTTCAGGCCGAACCCGCCCGGGGCCGCGCGCTGGGGACCCACCTGCTGCGCCCCTAGCCGGTTGCTCCCTGCGCTGGACCGCTCTCCCGCAACTCCACCGCTGTCGCCTAAGGAAAGAGGGACCGGGAGGTGGGCACTAGCGACGAGGTGTGGCGTGGCCGGCCTCCTCCCTCCGTGACCCATTCACCTGAAACTCCGATGGGAGGCGGAGGGAGCGGCGGAGGAGGAGGCGGGAGGACCGGGCAGGGCTCACCACCAGGAGCAAGCCGAGTTAAAGGAACAGCACGGACGTTGGCTGGAGAGGAGCGGGGGCGTGCGGGGAAGAAGGTGTCAGGATCGTGGAGGCAAGGGAGTGATCCTAGACTATTATGGGGGTGCTCGGAGATCCGCCTGCTTCAGGGCCCCTGTGGAGTGTTGGTTCCGGGAGAAGGAGAGTCAGGTCAGAAGGGAGCTGTTGTGCTATTCAGAGAGGGTACAAGGGCGCCTGGAGGCTGATAAGAAAGAAGGACCGAGTCCTCTCCCTACTGTGTCCTGCTGCCAGGTTTTGATTAAATGTTTGGTGGAAAGCCGTACCAGATGCTTGTTCCAGCGAAAGAGTGGACATTTTTCAGAAGTGCTCACTACTAGCATCTTCCGAATCAGAGGACTCAGGAAAAGACTATTATCCTCTGGACTGGTTAAAATGTAGCTGTGGGGGTCACCCAGAATCCCCAGGCCACAGGGTCCTCATCCAGGCACGCACTAAATGTAACTACGGTGTGATTGAGGCTACTCTAAAGGGATTTAAAACCGTTTCGGTATTCTTTTTTGACTCAAAACAAAACAAACAAAACCAATCTGGTTGTTAAGGACTGTTTGGTTTTTTTTTTACTCTGCCTATAACTCTGTTGTTACAGACTTGTGCGTGTGTGTGCGTTTGTGTTGTATTTCATATTAATTATACTCTAGGATACAGGGATTTTAGTTCTTGTTAGTTACCTATCTGCACCAAAGATGAGAATTTAAATTTCGTAAGCCCTACTTCCTTTTGTGTCCCAATCCTGAATGTCTGCATTGCTACTACATTTCTGTCCTATCCCGTGCTCCTTTCTGCCTTTAAGTAGCTACAGGTGTGGTTCTCCTTTGCATTAAATCTTAAAGCACAATTCAGTACTTCCGGAAGTAAAAAATCTAAATGATGACAGCCTTAATAGCTTGTTAATCTAATTAGTAATTTTTCATGAAGTCATTGACATAATTATTTCAATGTGACTGTAGTTTTTGATTGATGCAGATTAAATTGATATTAACCCTAAGGAAGCCAGGTTAATCCTCTTAATGTTAGCTGTCAGATTGCTAATATTTCCAAACATTCCAACTCAGATTATAATTATACAAGGAAACATTTTTGTAAACACCTATGTATTGTTTTGTCATGTATTTTGCCCTGTTCTGAAGAGGATCTCAAAGGAGGTTCGGTGTTGGTGTTTTTCCTATTTAAAAATAAACAAATATAGATTGACTAGGGGTACATCTTGTCCCCCGAACACCTGCTTGCCATACTTGAAACCCTAGGGTTCCATCCTTAGTTCACATACCAAAAATTTGTCCTTGCAAAGTGTACTCTTAGGGCGTGACGAGATGGCTCAGTGGTTAAACGTAGTGGCTGCTCCTCTTCCATCTTCTCTTCTCTTTGTTCAGTTTCCAGCACCACTCAGTAGCTGATAAACCGTTGTACTCCAGTTCTGGAGGGTGTGATACCTTCTAGCCTCCTTGGGCAGTAAGCACACATAGGCAATACATGCAAGCAGATTACCTATACACTTAAAATAAATTTTTTAATTAAAATATTTTAAAATAAAGTGTGCATTTAATATTTTTAGCAGTCACAAGGTTGTATAACCATCGCCACCATGTTCTAATTCCAGAGCGTTTTCAGCTGAAACCCAATACGTATTAATAGTCATTTTCTGTTTCCAGCCCCTGACTTTTTATTTTCTTTCTTTCTTATTGCTTCCCCACCACCACCCAAGGTTTCTCTGTATAGCCTTGGCTGTCCTGGAACTCACTTTGTAGACCAGGCTGGCCTCGAACTCACAGAAATCCATCTATCTGCCCCTCTGTCTCCCAAGTGCTGGGATTAAAGGCATGCACCACTACTGCCTGACTCACTGGTATATTTTCTATTTTTGTTGACTTTGATTTTATATGAATGGGTAATACCATCCATTAATTCAGTGCCTAGTTTTGTTTTGTTTTAAGATTTATTTATTTTATGTGAGTACACTGTGGCTGTTCAGACACACCAGATGAGGGTATCGGATCCCATTACAGATGGTTGTGAGCCACCATGCGGTTGGTGGGAATTGAACTCAGGACCTCTGGAAGAATAGCTAGTGCTCTTAACCACTGAGCCATCTCTCCAGCCCCAGTGCCGGGTTTTTACTTAGCATGCTGGCTTCATGTTTCATCTGTCAGCCCATATTTCTAGTACCTTACTCTTGTATATGACTAATATCTCGTTGCATTTATGACTAAAACATGCATACCACAGTTTATTTATCCTTTTACCAGTTGTTGGAAATCGAGCTTGTTTCTCCTTTTGGATTTTTTTTTTGTTTTTTTGTTTTTTGTTTTTTCGGGACAGGTTCTCTGTGTAGCCCTAGCTGTCCTGGAACTCACTCTGTAGACCAGGCTGGCCTCGAACTCAGAAATCTGCCTGCCTCTGCCTCCCAAGTGCTGGGATTAAAGGTGTGCGCCACCACCGCCCGGCCTCCTTTTGGATTATTATAAAGACTACTATTTGCAAAAGTTCATTCGTAAGTTTTAGCGTGAGCATACATTTTCAAAACTCTTGAGTAAGCTTTCAAGTAAACATTTTTTGTCATTTCAGGATGATAATATCCATATAATATTTTTTCCAATTCCCTTCCTAAACTTGGACAGAAAGTCACCTTATATCTGAAGGAAAGTTAGTTATTCTAATTTATTTACAATCCCCCTGCCTCAATCTCCCCAGTGCTGTTTTACAGCTGCACCACGCCCTTTTGTTTCCTTGTCCACATCAGTCTGTCAAGAAGACAGCTTCTTCCTCTTTATCATCGTCTTTTCCTCCCTTTCCCTCCCTTCCTCCTCCTCTTCTTCCTTCTCCTCCCAATTCTCCCAGCCCTGTGTCTTTCAGGGATGGGGATTAAACCAAGAGCCTTGTACATTCTTAAGCCCATGCGATGCCACTGAACTAAATTTCCAGCCAGTAACTATTTTTCTAAGTGCTTGTCTGCTCAAAGCAGTGACAGAACCCCCACTGTAATATGGAGACTTATCTTCTAATAACTACTTATTATGAGTGCGAAATTTAACAAAATAAGTTGAGCTATATGAAATTGACAATAGGTGATCATTTTTCAGTGTGAAAATGTCAGCTTCCTATGTTTTCTGTTAAGATTCTGCATACTGTTTTCATTTGATTCGGATTACTTTTCAAAACAATATTATAATATGGAAAGACCTAAAGCTGTGTTTTTTTTCCCGGCTGCTGATATCGTACTGATTAGGTAGTTATTGAAAGAAAACCCAGCCTTAAGCACATTGTTTCCTCAATACTAAAACAAAACAGGTCGGATGCTCAAGGGTGCCATGTTCAACTTATTCACCTATATAATCATAATTTGTAGCAAAGTAAATTTTTAACCAAATAATCCTTTTTGGCAACTCAAAATAGTTTAGTAGTATCATCCACTCTTGAACATTAAATAATGTTCAATTAAAATTCATTCTAGCCAGAGACAAAGTAAGTATTTTTATTAGAGGATCCATAAGTAGATTTGTCTTTTCAAATCACTAAAAATTTAAAAACAAAAACTGAACAACAACAAAAGTTGAGTGTTATGGTGCACAGCTTTAATCTCACCACTCCAGAGGCAGAGGCAGGCATATCTCTGTGAGTTCAAGGCTAGCCTGGTCTACAAATCCAGTTCAGGACAGCCAGGGCTACACAGAGAAATTCTGTCAGATCTCAGTGTTGCCCCTTAGTAGCTGGATTAGAGGAAAGAAAAGTCAACTGTAAAAAACCTTCACCACATTGGAGTTATCATAAATAATACCTTCCTCAGCTGCTTCAGAGGCTGAAGCAAGATGTTCACAAGTTCAAGGCCTGCCTAGACAACCTAGTAAGCCTCTCTGTCAAAAAGTAAAAACAGAGATGGGAGAGGTGGCAGGGTTTCTTGGGGCTTGGGACAGCCTGAAACTTACTGTGTATCTGAGTTAAGGCACTTGCCATCAAACCTGACAACCTAAGATGGAACCCACGTGGTGAGAAGAGAGAGCCAACGACCACAAGTGGACCTCTAACTTCCACACAAGCCGGAGCATGAGTGTGGGCATACACATACAGAGAAAATAAATAATTTCTTTTGTAGAGAGTAAAATCAGAGCTAGGGAGATATCTCAGTGACAGGATGCTCACCAGTATTCATAAGGCCCTTTATGCTCAGCATTGCATGAAAAGTAAAAAAATAAATAAATAAAATTAGTACCCTGTTATAATTTGGGAAAGCACGTCCCCCATAACATACAGTATTCTGAGGCACCAAATGAGTCTCAGTGAAATGACAAGTCATTGCTGTCTACCATCTCCCTACAACCATTCTAGTCATGTACACATTTGTACTGTGTTATGGACTAACTCTTAATCGATATCCCCAAAGCCAAGGTGCCTCCGAGCACTGTGTCTGTCTCTAACCTAGCCAACTGCCATTATGAAAGGAGCACATTCCTCTCCAAGGCTTAGAGCACTAGTACCAGGGTTTAGAGGGAAGAAAAGAAGGGGAGATTAAAATATTTCCACTCCACTGTGCCAGTCTAGTGAGTGAATTCAATGTGTGGTATTTGTTTAAGGGCACCTCAGTTTGGAGTGGCTGCCGGCCTGGCCTGAAAGGCTTCTATTATGGCCAACTAGTAATAAGGAGGGAGGCACCCTGTCAGCATGAGGCAGTTTC